ACAGGCACACGCCACCATGCCCAGCTGATTTTTTGTATTTTTAGTAGAGACGGGGTTTCACCATGTTGACCAGGATGGTCTCGATCTCTTGACCTCGTGATCCACCCGCCTCGGCCTCCCGAAGTGCTGGGATTACAGGCTTGAGCCACCGCGCCCGGCTCAAAAACAATTAAAAAAAAAAAAAAATTTTAAACCCCTTTGACCTGTAATCTTAGCATTTTGGGAGGCTAAGGTAAGAGATCCTCTTGAGGCCAGGAATTTTGAGACCAGCCTGGGCAACATAGCAAGAACCTGTCTCTATTTGTAAAAACAAAAACCAAACAAAAAACCCTGTGGGAGGACATGAGAGTAGGTGCATGTGCTCATTCCTGCATCAAAATGAGATATAGATGTTATTACCTTACTTTGCAGATGAGGAAGTTGAAGGTCAGAGAGGTGAAATAGCTTGTCTGAGGACACAGCTGATAGGTGACAGAGTTGTGCTCTTGGAGAACAAGGATCCTGACTGAAGATCAGGACACAGGTGTCCCAGAGCCACAGCATGCTCGTATATTAGCAGGGCCTTTAGAGAACAGCTGGTCCAACCCCCTCATTTTATGGGTGAGAAAAAGGAGGCTCAGAATGGAGAAGGGATTCTCCCAGAGTCATGCAGCAAGTTCGTGCAAAACCGTGATGAGAAACGCTCCGTGCTACACCGCCCCTTTCTGTGACATTCATTCAGTCATTGACTCAACAAACATTCATTGAGCACCAACTGTGTGCCAGATCCTGTGCTATGCCTGGAAATATAGCCATGAGTAAAACTTGGTCCTTTTTAAAAAAAAATTTTTTGAGACAGTTTCACTCACTTGCCCAGGCTAGAGTGCAGTGGCGCAATCTCGGGTTACTGCAAACTCCACCTCCTGTGTTCAAGTGATTCTCCTGCCTCAGCCTCCCAAGAAGCTGGGATTATAGGCACCTGCCACCATGCCCAGCTAATTTTCTCTTTTTTTTTTGAGATGGAGTCTCACTCTGTTGTCTAGGCTGGAGTGCAGTTGGCACGATCTCGGCTCATCGCAACCTCTGCCTCCCAAGTTCAAGCAACTCTCCTGCCTCAGCTTCCCAAGTAGCAGGGAATACAGGCGCTTGCCACCATACCCAGCTAATTTTTGTATTTTTAATAGAGACAGGATTTCACTGTGTTGGCCAGGCTGGTCTCGAACTCCTGACCTCATGATCCACCTACCTCACCCTCCCAAAGTGCTGGGATTACAGGCATGAGCCATTGCGCCTGGGCTGTATTTTTGTTTTTTGAGACAGAGTCTCTCTGTTGCCTGGGCTGGAGTGCAGTGGCACGATCTTGGCTCACTGCAACCTCTGCCTCCTGGGTTCAAGTGATTCTCCTGCCTCAGCCTCCTGAGTAGCTGGGATTACAGGCTTGCCACCATGCTCGGCTAATTTTTGTATTTTTGGTAGAGATGGGGTTTCACTGTGTTGGCCAGGCTGCTCTCAAACTTCTGACCTCAGGTGATCTGCCTGCCTAGGCCTCCTAAAGTGTTGGAATTACAGGTGTGAGCCACTGTGCCCAGCCATAAAACTTCATCCTTGCCTGTAAGGATCCTTTGTCCTGCTTCCTGCTAGCTGCCAGGCCCCCTTGCTGGAGGTGCTAAGGAGAAGCAGACAGTTAACATTTGCTGAGTGCTTGCTTCATGCCAAGCTCTGCGTGAATTATTTTTCATGTATTAGTGCATTTCATTTTCCCAGTGAGCCTAGGGGGAAGGTCCCCAGTTCACAGCTGAGGACCCTCAAGCATGCAGAGGCTGGGACGCACAGCCAGGCAGCTCCAGAGTTGAAGCTTTTCCACCACCCTGAGCTAAGGACTGCCATGGAGGAGGGGGCGAAGGAGGAGAGCAGGTGTGGTAGGGAGGGTGAGCTGAGGGAAGGGGGAAACCAGCCTGATCTGCCTCCCTCCTCCTTTAGTGCTCGGTGGGCCCCTCTTCCGATAAGGCCTTGACCTTCATGAAGGACCATTTCCTGATGGATGAGCAGGTGGTGGGGACGCCCCTGCTGGTGAAGTCTGGCGTGGAGTATACACGGCTTGCAGTGGAGACAGCCCAAGACCTTGATGGGCACAGCTATCTTGTCATGTACCTGGGCACCAGTGAGTAAAGAGTTCCGGGACATCCCTCAGAAGACTAGAGCAGGGGCTACCCCTAGGTTGGGGAGGGAAATTCTTGAGTTTATTCACTTATTCATTCAACAACTGTTTACTGAGCACCTGCTATGTTCCTGGCATTCCGCTAGGCTCTGAAAATACAGCAGAGGAGCAAAACAGTATACTCCCTACCCCTTCTGAGCTTTGTGTGGTGGGGGAGGCAGACAGGGAGGTCTTTGGTGGCCTTATCAAGAGCTGTGTGCCTTATGGGGGAAGGTATGTTAGAAGAATGAAAGGTGAGTGGGTGGAGGGAGCTGGAAACCGCACGTGTAGAGATCACTCCTGCAGGAAGCTTGGCTGAGAAGGGAGAGAGGAAGGAGGTGGTAACTGAGCAGGGAGTGGGGCCCAGCCAGGGTTCTTGGTTTTGACTTTTTCCCCTCCTTGCCCCCGGGGTTCTTGTTTTCCCCTCTTTGCCCCCAGCGCCCTTGCCCCCTTGGCCTCTTACTTAGAAAGGACTAAGCATCTAGTAGACCAGGGGATGGTGAAGAGATGGGTAGAAAGGATAAGTGGCAGGTAAAGTTGTGGAGAGCCAGAGACAAGGACACACATAGAGCTGGGCAGCTGTGGGTGGTGGAGGGGCAGCGCCTGAGCTGGGCTAGGAGTGAAGTTGTAGCAGCAGGGTGTGACTTGGTGGGCGTGTAGGCTGGGGGGCTAGAAGCCAAGGGAGCTCTTATCTGAAGGCTTTTGTATTCTTTATAAAGGATGAGGACACAAGGTCATGAGCTTGGAGTGAGGGGGCAGGAAAGCTGGGAGGTTTGAGGAGAGAGGGGTAGTTTCAAATAGCCATCGTGGGCCGGGCGCAGTGGCTCACACCTGTAATCCCAGCACTTTGGGAGGCTGAGGCAGGCAGATCACCTGAGGTCAGGAGTTTGAGACCAGCCTGACCAACATGGTGAAACCCCATCTCTACTAAAAATATAAAAACATTAGCTGGGTGTGGTGGCACACACCTGTAATCCTAGCACCTCGGGAGGCTGAGGCAAGAGAATCACTTGAACCCAGGAGGTGGAGGTTGCAGTGAGCCAAGATGGTGCCACTGCCCTCCAGCCTGGGCAATAAGAACGAAACTCTGCCTAAAACAAAAAATAGCCATTGTTGAAAGAGGGAGAGACAGTCAGTGTGGAATGCAGTAAGACTGCGCAGTGTATGAAGGGCCTGGCTGAGGCGGATAACCCTGAAGGTCAGTGGAAGACACCTGCCAAGTTCATTCATTCCTTCAGGCCATATTACTAGTCACTGTTATCAGCTGTGCACGTATTGGGTATACAGCAGAGAACAAAACAGTCAAAAATCTCAGTCTTTATGGAGTGGGTGGAGACAGACAATAGCATCCTGAATAAGTAAATGACATGACATCACGAGATTTGAGTCAAGTAGAGGTGTATGCGGGGAATCAGGAATACCAGGTGGGGAGATTGCTCCTGTTAAAGGGTAGTCAGGTAGACCTCACTGAGGTGCTTGATGGAAGTGAAGGAGGCTGCTGATGTGATTTCTGTAACTGACTGTGAGCAATCGAGATTACTCACTACCTTCGGGCCAGCCTGTGATGTGATTTTCTCCCAGCTGCCCACTGCTTCATGCCTGTGGAGAAATAGACAACTGGGTTTCTCCAGGGACAAAGTTTTGTCAGGGAGTTTCGAAGGAAGGACAGGGGTCCAAGGGATTTTAACCATGTATGAGACTGCCACCTCCATGGCACAGAGGAAGTTGAATGGTCTGGCTGACCAGTGCCCAGTACATGTCACCCTTAGAAGGAGCATTCTTACAGCTGGGGAGGCCATGTGAAGTTGGAAAGGGATCTGTGGATGAGGTGAGATGACTTCCACTCTCTCTGTCTCCCCATAGCCACGGGGTCCCTCCACAAGGCTGTGGTGAGTGGGGACAGCAGTGCTCATCTGGTGGAAGAGATTCAGCTGTTCCCTGACCCTGAACCTGTTCGCAACCTGCAGCTGGCCCCCACCCAGGTGGGAAGAAGGGACCTGACCATCAAGTGGCTTTCCAGTGGGGCTGGCCTCGGGGGCCTGTTGGACTGGCTCCCTGGCCTGCACCAGGGTGCTGGGACTTTGCCAGACGTGGCTGGGGCTCCCTTATAATCTCCATCTCTCCTCCAGGGTGCAGTATTTGTGGGCTTCTCAGGAGGTGTCTGGAGGGTGCCCCGAGCCAACTGTAGTGTCTATGAGAGCTGTGTGGACTGTGTCCTTGCCCGGGACCCCCACTGTGCCTGGGACCCTGAGTCCCGAACCTGTTGCCTCCTGTCTGCCCCCAACCTGTGAGTGCCAGTCCTGGATGCTGGCTGACAGTGGCCAGCCAGGACCCTTCTTCACCAGTTTCTGCTACTGTTCTTCCTCTCTCCAGAGGCTGCTGACACATTCACTCCTAGAGTCCTCCCATCCCGCAGTGGGTTCCTCCAGGGATGGAATTTGGCCAGGCAGTTTTGAAGCTGCCCTGGCCGTCCTGGGCTCCTCCCCTCTCAGTTCCTAGTCTCCCCCGGCCTACCTGCTTTCCTACTGCACTTCCTCCCTTCCTCCTTCCTCTTCCCACGTTCAGCTCTTTCGAGGGATAATTTTTGCTTTCTCTGCCCTCTTAGGAATTCCTGGAAGCAGGACATGGAGCACGGGAACCCAGGGTGGGCATGTGCCAGTGGCCCTATGGGCAGGAGCCTCCGGCCTCAGAGCCGCCCACAAATCAGTGAGTGTGGGACCAGGGGAGGTACAGAAGCGCTGGAAGACTTTTGGGCAGGGGTGGGCATTCCTGCTCCGGTTTCCTCCCCCAGCACCTGCCTGGCTTGAGATCTGAACACCTGAGTTGGGATAGATTTGGGTCCTGGCTATAGGGAAGAGGGATAGGAACTCTAGCTAGAGGCCAAGCTGGGATTCAGGATTGAGGTCGCAGTTGCTTTTGGTGTCAGAGTTGGAGTTAGATGGACTAGGGCTTCGTTTGGGGTCCAGACTGGAGATTAAGAAGGGGTGAAATTTGAGTATGGAAGTTAGAGATAAAAGCTGAGAGGGGCCGGGCGCGGTGGCTCAAGCCTGTAATCCCAGCACTTTGGGAGGCTGAGGCGGGTGGATCATGAGGTCAAGAGATCGAGACCATCCTGGTCAACATGGTGAAACCCTG